AGGGTATTTACTATGTCCTTGAGTGATGATACTGTCTGCACATTATTGTCGTCAAGTGGACGAGAAATCCACACAACTGCAACGTACTGCTTCTGCAAGAGATGATTGTATTTGAAATGTAATGGCAGATTAACATCTAGCTGCGAAACAATATAATTAACTCCAAAAGAAGAAGTTTACCTGCTTCTCAGATTCTCCTTCGCGCATCAGCGCCCACCCCTGACTACCAAATTCCTTGAGATTCTTTACCCTAACCTGCACAAATGTACAGAACATTACACAACCTAATCTGAAAATAAAATTGTAACAAAGACATGAATTTAGAACAGACTCACATATTTAGTTTCCGTGCTATTTATTTTTTTTTCTATATCTTTTATTAACACCTCAGAAAGAACTTGGCGTGCATTTTGGATCTCAACCAGAAAAGGCCGCCCTGTACCCAGCATCCGAACCTATAGAGACAGAGATTTCCGAATTAGAATGGTGGGTTCATCTAACTAAGATTGATTGAGATGCCAAAGTTTCTATACATCAATATCTTCTCTGCCTGCAGCATGAAATTTATAACTGTCACCCTGGCATATGGGAAGGATGGTGCCACCAACAATTTCCTGAAAATGTTAAGCATGCTACACTGTCAACAGTGTCATATGTTTTCATCCAGAAAATAAAAACTACTCTCTTAAGAATTTCTTACCTCAACAGATGCTTCTCCCATCCTTTCGTCGTCAATAATCCAACGTGTCTGGCTGACTTTTCTTGAGTACTGCATTGGAAAAGAGTAATTGCATAATTTAAGGTTACACAGTGGCAGTACATTCCACCACAAGATCTGAAACAGATGGAGTTGGTTCTGCCTTCTATCAACATATCCATGAAAGAGATTGATTGAATAATTAAAAGGAAAATCCCTTGAAAAGAATATTATAGATAATTAGTATTTCTTGTGCAGAGAGCGATATTTTCAGATCTCACTAGCCAATTTCTCTTTCTTACATGATGTGCCATTTGTATTTCGGTTTTGAGTCCCCATCAACATATAATTCCATTACATGCTAACAATCAGTTAATTGTTACATGGGGTTGGTGGGAAATTACAGAATTTGAATAGCAGTGACTGTCTTCCAAGACAATAAACGGTTATGAATCAACCAGCCTTTCCAAAAACCTAGGTTCACCTATTAAGCGGATAATCTAGATGATAACACGGTGAGCATGGTACACAGGTTTGCAGCAACAGAAAATGAAGCAGCCTAGTTAAGAAGATTATCAACGTAAATCTTGTTGAAGAGGCCTCGTATTGAAATAAATATTGTACCTTAAGATATCTCCCACCAATGTAGATAGAAGTTCTGTAGCACTGGATGATCAAGGAGCAGCATCGACTGACCTAAAAGCATCAAAGTTCACAGCAATTGTATGAATATTATGATATGAAGCTCCTTATTATAAACAAGTTTGACTACATGACTGCATTACAAAAGATGCAAGACATCAATGTCAGATAAGCATTACTCGGATGACATTAGCATGGCAATATACCTTCTCCAGGGGGAATGTTAAGCCACCAAACTTGTTATCACCCAACTCGTTTGAAGACCTTTTACGGAATTCATGTCCTTCAACATTACCATGCTTCTTCAAGTCATCATTTTCATCTGTTCCAATCAAAACTTTGTGTCAGACCACCCATTGAGAATGCAAGAAACTTGACCATAACATATATTTGAAATATTTGTCTTTGGTGGTTGAGATCGTTAAATAAAAGAGCCAAAAGAATTCATCGATGAGGAAAAAGGAATAATAAATTCAATGAAAATTTAGATGTTCCAAATGTAATGTTCTATCCATCCAAAAGGCACGTCGACAAAGTTATGACCATTCTGTCACATTGTACACATTACTGTCTCACTCACAATGGAATTATCATATTACCCATTCCAAGCACCATATAGCTGAAAGATATAAAAGAAAAGAAACAACAATTTAGCACACGTCTAAGATCTTGCTAACTAATTCATGGACAAAAATGCTATCCACAGTAAAAATCCAGGATTTTCAGACATCAAAAGAGTATGCTATACAAAGTTAAACTAATGCACAAAGGAACTTTTGATAATTATCATAAGAACCATTTTTTAGCTAGACAGATCACACTATCATGGTAGAAATACACGAAACCAACCCTTTTTAACCATGTAAGACATAGGTATGAAATAAAATGCCCGATTTCTTTAAAATTTCTGTTTTCTTCACTATTTCAATATTCAAGTGAGAATGCTTAAACCCTCGGCCTTGTACCATATACAGTTTAAATCTATGAATTAAAGATGTGACTCCTCATTAGAAATAAAGCGTGAGAGTAACAAATGAACATGCCTATTTTTCTCCTCTTATTGCATTCATTCCCCTTGCTAATAAGCTGCTCATTTGGTGATGCATCAGAGAGTTTGTATGTCAAACGAATATGGAAAGAGCTTGGATTAGATTTCACATCCTGCAACATCTCAAATATTTTGAACAGTCAGTCCTCCATATTGGTGGCCTCAACCAAATAATTTAAGACTATTGGCATCCATTCCCATCACCTGCCTAAAATTTATAATTTATAGTGCCAGACATCAGTTCCTAAGAATATCTTCCTCAAATACAAGCCGGTAAAGCAAGAAAGACACAATAGACTCATGATATGTTCACAGTTCGAACAAAATTAGGCAGTCCAAAACAGTAGCACTGAAATTGAGAAGAGCGTTCAAAATTACCAACAACATTTCAAGAGGATTTGTCAGGGACAATCTTAAGAAATCTTTAATGGTGATCCTTTGAGATGGAAACTGTTCACGGTACCAAGGTTTGGACTCGTATGTCTTTTTCATGTACGACCTGAAATGAACAAATGGAAAACTTTCATAAGTTACTCACTCATAATATATTGTATCAAAAATAAGCCACAAAATCTTAAAGGATAAGGACGTATTAGTTATTATAAGTACATGTATATAGATTAAACTACGAGTAAGATCAATGCAGTTGGCATCCCAATCATAAACAAATTCAAAATCACTAATCACAGAAAGAGAACTACTAACCAAATTGATTCTTCATTATCCACGATAATTGGGGGCAGTGACAGCTCAAGAGAGAAACTTTCAATTTGATGGCCCTCTAGCTTTACAACATCAGCAATTGTTGTGGCAAAATCGATAGCAGAACCTTTTTTTGCCAACATTTCCTTGGCATCGCAGTACACAAACTGCATGATACCAAGACAGATTTTACATACTTCAACTTCCTCTAACTCTTTAACAGAATCCAGATTATTTGGATGATCTGCTACACCTCCCTCCGTTTCTGCTGATTCCCGAAGAATTGCACTCAGAGCTGAGCTGGAAATCGAAGGACAAGGAAGGAGGTGCTGGTGAATACTGAACAGCCAGAAAATGCATCGCCCACAAACCTACATTGGTATATAATTCATGTGAGAGCTCCATTAATTAAGCAGTTATTTTAGATTAGCATAAAAAGTAATCACATAATATCAGAACATCTATATGATCAACTGATAAATATTGAACTAGCCCTCAGTTTAATCAATAGTTAAAGTTCCAAGCTTTACTAAAAGAATGAACCAAAATCACAAATATCAATTAATAAGATAGTAAAACCAGTAATTCTATCTATCTATATAAATAACAGTCAGAAAAACTAAACCACGAAAAAAAGAGTGAAAGCGAGAACAGAACGAACTCCATTGGACAATAAGTTTTTCACGGCGTCAGGCGGCAGCGAACGGGCGGCGTCCCGAATGAGTTTCAGGCCATCCTCGTTACTGGCGGAGGTGGAGCTAACTTGCACCTTGTCACCCCCGTCGTTAACATAAGCATCTTTGTCGGCCATTCTGAATAGAAATTTGGGTCCCGTTCAATTCGCCATTGGCGGCGGGTTACTCGTTTAGTGGACTGTTTGGCGCAATGGACTTTATTAAGGAATTTTGTCAAAAGAGGCCCTCTTAGTTCGGCACTAGTGAATTGTAGCCTTTTGTCTGATTTCAAGAAAATATTAAAATAACCTCTCAGTATACATTATACCCCCATGTTAAATGAATCAGGTTTTTGGAAGATTTTGATAAAAATTGTGAATTACATGAACTATACGAGTAAAATTAATCGGTAACTTTAACTTAAATTTTAATTGAACCGAACAGGGGCTATATCAAAAACGCACGTCCATTGTCTAGCTCGACAACATATAGGAGGAGGGCTAAGCTGAAGTTCGATTTATTAAAAAATAAAATAAAATGAAATGAAAATAATTGCTGCGTAAATACTCATTTTTTTCTCCATATTTTTCACATAATCTCCCGCACCTTTTCCATTCATTCATTTACTGCCTCCAATAAAAAAAAATCCGAATTTTGAACAGTTTCATCACCTTATGAATTAATCATTTGGCTCATGATCAGTAAACCATCATTTTATCTTTGGCAAAGATTCAAACTCCGGCCCTTCAAGCAGTATTCTTCATGCAAAAAAATCTCTGAAACCACTCAGGTCCATGGTGTAATGGTCAAGACTGTACGTGACAACGCACCATTTCCACTGAGCAAACTGCTTGCACATGCAGCCTTCATTTTCAAGCACGTAGAAAGCCCAAATCTCTATAGATTCACCACCATGCTTAGAGGTTATTCAATCAGCAATGACCCAAAAAGAGACCTTGTTTTGTTCAATTGCATGAGGACTCAAGCCCAAAGTCAAGATTTCATGCTTTGATGAATTAAATTTTGTTTCAATTTGAAGTCTTCAGCTCGTTTATTCACTATTTGGACTGGCTCTGGGATTCATTCGGGGGTTTTGAAATCTGGGATTGACTTTTTTTTTTATATATATGTTAAGAAAACTCACATTTATATTGTGTTTGTGGGCGAAATAAGAGGGTTTCCGGCCAATAAAGTTACATTCTTGGCAGTTTTGAGCTCCTGTAGCCATGGAGGGCTAGTGGCAGAGGGGTGATCTATTACCAGAGAACGGTGGAAATGTACGGTTTGATTCCAGAAGTTGAACATTATGGATGTATAGTTGATCTCTTGGGTCGGGCAGGGTTGCTGGAGGATGCATATAAGCTAATTAAAGGATTGCCAAAAGAGGGGAATGGCACTGCTTGCAGCATGTTGAGTTGATTTGAAGAGGACATTGGGATGAAGAAAGTCAAGTTTAGAAGTAAATGACCTAAGAGTAGGCGTAAGAGAAATTTTGGTCCGGCGCTGCGGGGCGCCAGGTCGATGCCAAGGTGCCACCGCTCTGTTTTTTCTCTGCGTGATTTTTCTTCCTCTACTCTGTTTCTTGCATTCTACTTCAACTACAACTCTACTACTAGGATTTGGACGTCCCTTACTTGTTTCCTATATATAATTAGCTCTTCATCATGATTTAGTAGAAGTTAGACAAAGCTGTAAACACAAATCTTTGTATTCTTTCCTTATATTATAAAAAAATCTTCATTTTCAGCAAATTATTCTGTTCTTGTGTTTTTATGATCAATTACTTCATATTGTGGTTATAATCTCCTTTTTTCATCAACAAAGTGGTATTTGATTAATCTGGTATCATCTTAGCTTTTCACAATATTAGTAATGGAAGGAACAAGAAGAATTTGGTTTAGAGGAAAGGAACCTAGAACGAGTGTTTAAAGCGGCAGAACCAATGTGAGAGCCTGTCCCATTTCCCACCCGAATATGGTCAGCACCATTGGTTCTTCTGATTGCAGAGCGAGGTTATTGATGTCAGCTATCATGTGATGTATAGCGCCAGAGTAGGGATGCCAGTCTTGATTGGTGTTGGAGGATGAAGCATAGTTAGCTTGATAAGCCTAGGAGTTGATGGAGCACTATAGGTTATATCAAACCTGTAGTAGCATTTGTGCACGGGATGGTCGGGGTCTGTCACACAGCTGGCACCAGAGGGTGGAATTGTTTCCACTCGAGAAAGAGCCCCCGGTTGTAGTTGGAGTTGGTGAAGCCATGGCCTCGGCCTTGGCTATTAAAACGTCCATATCCTTGATTATTGTTTGATAGAAATTGCCACAATCACGACCATTATTGTTACGGGTGGCAATGTTGGCAGGGGCATTTGAAGAACAAGAGCTTGGATGTTGTGGTTGATTCTCACCTCAGCAATGAGGAGCTGGGAATATAATTCTTCAAAAGTGGGGTTTTCTCGGGATGAGATCATTGTAACCAAAGAATCATACTCGGTGACAAGGCCAGCAAGTACATTGTTTATTATACCATCGCATTCCATGGCTGGCCAGCAATAGCTAACTCATTCGTTAATTTTTTATGGACATAAAGTACTTCGTGGCAGTAGAGTTGCGGGTGGAGGCTAGTTGTGATCGAACTTTCACTGCCTTTGCACGAGACTGAGAGGTAAAATGTGAAGACAGGTATTTTTGTGTGNTCAGGGTGTATAACTAGTGTGAAGACATGTATTTTGTGTGTCTTATTCCAAGAGTTTACATCCATATATACAAAGTGTATTCTTGGCCAGCAATAATAAGATTACCTATTATAGGAAAACATATCATCTTTTCTAGGGAGAATATTATACCATATAAACACAGGATACATACGCACTAATACCCCCCCTCAAGTTGGAGCATGTAGATCCCGGATGCCCAACTTGCAAAGAAGAAATTCAAACTGACGTCGGCCCAAAGCTTTGGTAAGCACATCTGCTAACTGTGCATGAGTCGAAACATATGTAGGTCGAATAGTTCCATTAGTCACTTCATCACGAACAAAATGGCAGTCCACCTCGATATGTTTTGTGCGCTCATGAAAAACCGGATTAGCCGCAATATGCAAAGCTGCCTGGCTGTCACAATATACTGTCACGGGGCTCTCATGCGTAACACCAAGAGCAAGAAGCAACCCTTTCAGCCATTTTAATTCAGAAACAGTAGTGGCCATAGATCGATATTCTGCTTCAGCCGAAGAGCGCGATACAGTATGTTGCTTCTTAGTTTTCCAAGAAATAGGCGAGTGTCCAAGAAGGATATACCAACCAGTCAAAGAACGACGAGTGAGTGGACAACTTGCCCAATCTGAATCACACCAGGCAGATAATTCTAAATTACAGTCGGAAGATAAGAAAATTCCTAGTCCTGGATTATTCTTCACATAGCGAACAACACGGAGTGCAGCAATCCAATGTTCTTCACGTGGCTGTTGCATAAACTGAGCCAATACATGCACACTATAAGATAGCTCAGGTCGCGTAACGGATAAATAGATAAGTCTGCCCACCAATCGCCTATATTTTTCAGGATCAGACAAAAACTTTCCCTTTGCCATAGCCAAGGTCTGATTTTGTTCCATTGGTGTGGAGACCGGTTTAGCACCAAGCAAACCCACTTCGGCAATAATATCCAATGCATACTTTCGCTGACACAAATATATCCCTTGTGGACTTCGAGCTACCTCAATGCCCAAGAAATACTTTAGGATACCCAGGTCTTTCATGTGGAAGCATTTACTCAAATATTCCTTAAAAAGGCAAATTGCTGTTGAACTGTTGCCGGAGATGATAATATCATCAACATAAACCAATACATTAACATGTACGTTTCCTTGATGCAAGGTAAAAAGAGAATAGTCTGAACCGGATTGCTGGAAACCATATTTTTTCAAGGCACCAACCAACTTTGCAAACCAACACCTGGGAGCTTGCCGTAAACCGTACAAAGATTTCTTCAAGCGACAAACCATCTCTGGTTTATCAGAATTAAAACCTGGAGGCAATCGCATAAACACTTCTTCTTCTAAATCTCCATGCAAAAATGCATTGTGCACATCCATTTGATGAACCTCCCAGTTCTTGGCGGCAGCCACTGCTAGAAAAACTCTCACTGTTCCCATTTTCGCTACTGGTGCGAATGTTTCCATATAGTCAATTCCTTCGACCTGCCGATTGCCAAGAATTACCAACCGTGCCTTGTATCTTTCAACCGTTCCATCTGCTTTGTACTTGATCTTGTACACCCATTTGCAACCAATGGCTCGTTTGCCTGGGGGTAAAGGTTCCACAATCCAAGTCTTATTATCCTCCAAAGCCCATATCTCCTTCTTCATTGCTTCTCTCCATCGTTCGTCTTTCATAGCTTCACCAAATGATGTGGGTTCAATTCCTGTAGTAATAGCTCCCAAGAAAGCACGATGTTGGATAGAAAATTTATCACAATTCACATAATTAGTGATAGAGTAAGGACTACCTGAGGATTGCTTATGGTCGAGTGAGGAAATAGAAGGGCTGTTCTTCAATTTTTGCACAGTATGTAGAATGTGATCCCTCAACCGGACAGACTGCTTCTTGTTTCTGTGTCCACGTCCAAGCATCCTAGGTTCGGACCCCATACTGCTAGTTTCACATTCGGATTCTGTTACACCGTCAATTTGCGCCATACCATCATTACCAATAACAGGTGTTATCACTTGGTCCTCCACCTCATCTTCTTCCAAACCATCTTCATTATTTAGATGTTCTGTTAAATGATCTTTTCCAGTCCCTCTAGATGATGACATCATATCCTCTTCTAATAGGTTTTCAAAATTGTTGTTTCTTCTCTCATCATTTTTGATTTCATGTTGATAAGGAAAGTCATGTTCGAAAAATACAACATCTCTCGAGACAAAAATATCTTCAGTCTCCAAATCATACAAGCTCCATCCTTTCTTTCCAAACGGATAACCAACAAAGATGCATTTTTTACTTCGACTAGCAAATTTATCGCCCCCCCTTTTTTGGTTATGTGCATAAGCTAAGCACCCAAAAACCTTCACATTTTTATATGAGGGAGGTTGTTCAAATAACAATTCGTAAGGTGTTTTACCTTTTAACAAA